CCCCCCCCCCCCCCCATAATATGGGAACTCCCGACCTTATGGTACCGTTTAGATGCTTTTTGTTGCGTTCCCGACCCTAAACCCTAAACCTTAAACCCTAAACCCCTAAACCGTAAACCCTACCAACGCAAAGGCCGGGGCCGGAGATGGCAACGCCACGGACAGCCCCAACGCATCGAATGCAAGCAAGGCCGAGGTGAAGGCAGGCCCTGATGTCTTCCAACTTATAGGGTTCATGGGTTCGGGGTTTTCAGCGTTTGTGGGTTTAGGGTTTAGGGGNNGGTTTAGGGGTTCATGGGTTTAGGGGTTTGGGGGTTTAGGGGTTCATGGGTTCCGGGTTTTCTGGCGTTTAGGGTTTTCAGGCGTTTAGGGGTTCAGGGTTTAGGGTTTATGGGTTCAGGGGTTCAGGCGTTTAGGATTCAGGGGCCCTGATTCAGGGCTTTAGGGGTTTAGGGTTTAGGGGTTCAGGGGTTCAGGGGTTCAGGGGTTTAGGGTTTAGGGTTTAGGGGTTCCGTGGTTTGGGGCTTTGGTGTTCATGTTTGGCTCAAGGCCAGAAGATGTAGCCTGCGTCGGGGTCTCCCAGGACACCCGGAGCATCCCTCACCCTAACCTCTTAACCCTAAGCCGTAACCCCTATAAACCCTAAACCTCTAAACCCCAAACTCTATAGATTCTTCACTAAGAGGAAACGCTGGGGTATAATCAAGTTTCTTCTAGGTTTTCCGGGATGTCTTTCCTGGGATTTAGGCTTTCGGGTTTAGGGCTTAATTAAAGGCTTTAGGGTTTAGGGTTTCGGGTTTAGGGTTAGGGTTGCGCACGTTCACCCTGGTTCAGGCTTGCGCTCTTTAGAAACCAGAGTTTCTGGATGCAGGAATCAGGCGGACGTCGCACAACGCCCCCCTTCACCCGTGCCCCGGTCAAAAGCAAGCCTGAACCGTGACCCTAAACCACACCCTAAGCCACTAAACTCCTAAATCCTAAACTCAAACACCGTACGCCCCTAAATCCTAAACTCAGACACCCTAAGCCCCTAAGCCCTCAAACTCTTAAGCCCTAAAGCCTTCACCCCATGAATCCCTAAACCGTAAACCCTAAACCCTAAGTTACCCTAAACCCTAATTTTCCCAGACCCCAGACCTTCCCGGCATCCCTTGATGAAGGAATGCCTTTAAGGATTCATTTCAGGGTTCCATAAAAGTTGTTTAGGGTTTAGGGTTTAGGGTTTTCGTGTATAAGGGTTCTCTTTTAAATCATATTGGGGATCTCACTATCATCTGAGCTTAGTTCTTGAATTAACCAGGGGTCCATATATCCATATATATATATATACACACACTACTATGAATTAAGTAACCCCAAAACCATAGTCGGAATGGTGTTCGGGGGACCTAACTCCATAACGGTGGTATATATGGCCTCTCTGGGCAGGGGATAGCCTTTAAGTCAGAACCCTAAAGCCGCAAGCCCAGAGCTTCGGCCAAACAGCCCTTACCGACAGTACTCAGAGGAATTATCGTTTAGGGTTTGGGGTTTAGGGTTTAGGGTTTAGGGTTTAGGGTTTAGGGTTTAGGGTTTAGGGTTTAGGGTTGCCGAAAAACCACACGGTTTCGGGCTTTTTAGGTAGGGTTAAGGGGTTTAGTGTTTAGGGTTTCAGTTTCCCTATCTCCCCGGGTGTAAATCGTCAACTTGTACTTTAACTGGTACCTGCATTCTGCGGTAATTCTCCGCAATATTGACTGCAGGACTATTCAAGTCTGGTTTCAGAACATACGGGACTCTAATACGTGGTTCTCCTAGATTTAACCTATTTAACGTCTATGAACTCTTCAATTTTCCCAAATCCTGAAGCCTAATTAAACCCTTATCGAACTCTAATTCTAGGAACCCAAACCCTAAACCCTAAATTGGATTCCTCAAGGAAACCTCAAAGGAAGTCTTTAAGGAATCCGGAAGGGAAACGACAAAGTCCTAATAGGCAGGACTGCTCAAGCCTAGGTACCCCTAAAGAAATCCCCGTAGCCCACGTATACAGTCGTTATCCCGAGTTAAAGACACTGCCATCATCCTCATCATCATCATCATCATCATCATCATCATCATCATCATCATGGCTATCCATACACATTAGTATTCTGAGTATCTACCATTCTTGCTGTCATTGTGAATACGAACAACACTACTACCATGATTGTTAAGCATTATGACTCTTGTTGCATGCTAGTCTTAGAAGCTACCAGACCGACTGCATTCTCAAGTCTACCTTTCAAGGGTTAAGCAAAATAAGCTAATCATAACAAGGCCCTAAAAGCGTAAGTTATTTGGTGTTGAGGTACACCCTCTGAACCCTAAGCCACGTCGACGCCAGGACTACTCCGCTCTGAGGTTCGCCATCCGATATGCCACCGTCCTTACCGCCGCCACCGTCGAGCGGCAGAAGGAGGCGGAGACGTCGGGTTTAGAAAGTTTAGGGCTTAGGATTTAGGGCTTAGGGTGTAGTAGTAGTGTTTAGGGTTTCCCTTGAGAGCTTACTAGAAGGGTTGGGTGCCCTTAAGGGTTCCTTTCAGGGCGTCAAGGGGTGTTAAAGTCTTTGAGAACTATTATTGGGTTTAGGGTGTAGGGTTTAGGGTTTAGGGTTTAGGGTATAGTATAGTGTCTCAGAAGGTCCCTTTAAAGGTGCCCTCAGGGTTTTCATGGAGTTGTCGCCTCAGGGTAACAGTACCGAAATAGTACATCGAGCCCCTAAAAACCCTCAACCCTAAACCCTAAAGCCCTAAACCCTATATACCCTGAACCCTATATACCCTAAACCCTAAACCCTAGAATTTTGACAGGTTCTTGGAGCGGCTTGGAGACCTCGAGCTCATCCTTTTTAGGGGCTTTGGGGAGTACCTTAAGAACCCCCAACCTTCCTTGTTTGTAGGGTCCCTATAAATCCCATATTAGGGTTTATAAGAAGAACCTACAAAAAGTGGGTTTTGGGTTCTCAAGGTAAGGGTTCACGGATTTAGGGTTTACGGTTTTAGGGTTCAGGCTTTATGGATTACGGGTTCACGGGTTTCTGGACCTAAACTCGCTGTACAGAGTTTAGGGTTTACCTGTAACCGAAGAGACCCACCTTCTTAAGGAACTATATACATGTATATAT